GGTTATAAATGGTTCGGTCACCACGGGTTACACGGGTGGACCGGTTTAGGTTTATCGGATTTTTGTCGGGTTTAAACGATTTTCGGTTTAAAATGGGTTGGGTTCCTATCGGGTTTAGACGTAATCGGTTTGGGTTGTTGACAGTTTCAGGTTATAACAGTTCACTAGTAGAAAAAGTGAAATAGGCACCGCACGAAAAAGATTTTTTAAGAGAGAAAAAAAGGGGAGAAAGGGATTTCGCACCGGTTCTTACCAAACCGGTGCGAAAAATGAGTTAATCGCACCGGTTCGGTTTGAACCGGTGCGAAATCTATTGTAAAAAAAAACCTGGATATACTCTTTCTTTCTCTTGCTTTCATTTCCTCGATCTTTCCTCCTCTCTCTCTCTCCTCCATTGAAGTGTGCTCGAATTTCTCCATTGAAGGGGCTTCTGAGCTTTCTCTCAGCACTTTCCTCAAACTCCCTCTCTCTCCTTCGATCTCCATAACCGCCACTTTCCCTTTCCTTTCATCTCTCTTTTGATCTCCTTCTCCTTCTCTCTTTCTACAATATTGGAGGTTAGGGTTTCTGGGTGCGTCTATTTTGAATCAATTCGATGTGCGTACGTCTTTAACAACAACAAATTCAAATCAATTTCGAACCAAAAATCAGAAATTCGAGGTTAGGGTTTCTGGGTTATTTTAGCTTTGCGTTATATTGTAGCAGTTCTTAGCTTTCTCCTCCATTGAAACAACTTCTGAGGTAATGCTTTTTAATCAATGAAGTTTTTTAATCAATGAATATCAATTTTGCTAATTATTTGTGTTAGTATAGTTAATCTAGGGTTTTACCATTGCTAAAATTATGCTATTGGCTTGTTTATTTAGGGTTTTCAGATGTAATCGCCTTCAATTGATTGCTCGAATGTTATTACTCGATTACTCATTACTGCTCTATTTTCTTCTGCTCGAATTGCTTACAATTGATACGAATTGCTGGATTCTCTCCTCTGCTCGATTATCTGTTGAGTAATCACCCAAATCAAAAGTTTCAAGTATCAATTTTATTATTATATGTTGAGTTTTTGTTAAAACTGGAGAAATTATGTGTTAATTTGTTGATTTCTTGCGATTTGTATGTCACTTTCAGTTTTGCATGTTACATATTGCGAAATTCTTTGCATGTCAAATTCTTAGTTGTATTCTTTGATTGAACTAGTATTAGTATTATGAATAAGCACCACACTTTTTGCTTTGTTCTTGTTCTGGATACTGTTTGCCTCAAATCTCATTGTTTTGTTTGATTGGATGTTTGATTGTTTTAGTTTTAATTTGGATGTTTGATTGTTTGTTTTGGTGAGGATTAGCTGGGTTTGAATTTAGGGTTTTATTAGTGAATTTAGTAATTAGACCCAATATCATCTTTTGATGAATTTGTGGAACTGGAAATTAGGGTTGGATTTGGCTGATTTTTGCTTCAAAAGTTATGAGTATTATTGATTTAAGGTGACATTTGCTGTGCAATTGTAGCTGAATATAAATTAGACTCTCTGAGGCCCAGCCTGTGGTTGGAGGTGTTGCCCTGCCTATGGTTGGTCTTGAGGCTCAAGGTGGAGACTTTGTAGACGTAGATGGAGGATGGAGGCCCTGTTGAGGACTCAGAAGATGAGTTGGGAGCTGTTCTTTCCCCAACTATAGCTGATGGGTAAATGTCTCCGTGAAACCCTAAATTATTTATCATTCCGTTTATTTTTTTTTATATAAATAGCAGCATGTTTAGGGTGGAGGATTTGTTTGTGGTTGTGACTGTATGCCAGTAACTTCAGTAGCTGGCCAGGATGGATTTTGATGATATTTGTGTTGGTGTTCGTTGATGTTTTGTGGTGGTTGTTGCTTACTATGTATAGCTTGTGTTATTGTTGATATCTTTGCAATTAGACATTTGAATTCCTCGTTCTACATATGTGTTGAATTTACTTCATTGCGAATTTTGAATCTACTTGTATTTATCAAATTTAGGGAAGAAATCGATCAAATTTACTAGTAAAATGTTGACAAGAAATTCCTCCTAACATCGTTTGATTCATTACTGATTAAATTAATTGATTGCTGAATTCAATTTGTTTTCTGTGGGATATTCGACTTTCTTGCCTTTAACTGAACCTTCAAAATGTATGAATGATAATTTTAATAGTTAGAATGATATTTGGGCTCGAAATTTTGGTTTAGATAATGAAAGAATAAATCAAATTAGCTAACTAAATTGTTAATATTTCTATTTTGAGATAGTCATTAGTCCAGTTGTTTTGCAATGCATTTCGATTATGAAGGCTGATTGTTTTTGTTCGGCCCTTCATACCACCTATAGAAACCGCCTTTTAGTGACGTTGGGGTATTGTTGATTGTAAATTGTTGATGTGGATGCATAACAAGATTATAAGGTTGAGAAGATGTTGTTAGTTGTAAATAAATAATTTTCTCTTGTTGAGCATTTGGATAGATGTGACTATTTTAATTGTGTTATTGCTCGATTGGATTGCAGTTCCACCCTGTGTGGCTATTTGTTACTCTGCTCAGCCTGTATGGTTTTTGTTTCATATGCTCATTCTGTGTTGTTGATTCCTTTCGTCAGCCTCTTTTATTGTTACTGACTATGCTCAGCTTGTGTTGCTGTTGTTGCGCATGTTGAGTCTCTGCCTTTGCTTATGCTGAGCTTGTGTTGCTGTTATTTCGGTTTTGGCCTTAATTATGGAATATTCTTCTGATTTTGATCCAAGTGGTTGACGAATTGTCCCTTTTAATGCATACATTCTTTGAATTTTAAAGATGTGTGCTATAGATATCATAATGCCTTGAGTCCCTTGGCCGTAAATAGTTACACTAGGATAATCCATATGATGAAGGGACTCACTTTCATCGTACAACTTCTCACTATGATTTGCTCCGGTTTTTCCGTTGAGGTAACATAGTTTGAGAAGTTTTTGGATGAAAAAGAAACCCCCTGATGGATTCATGAATTATTTGCTTTCCTTTGATGAAATTTGCGGTTTCTATTGATGAATGTTGTTAAAATTTACGGTTTCTGTTGATGGATGATGGAGCTGATTTTGCAATCTGGTTGGGCTCGTTGGTTTATAGAGGACATAATTTTCGCAATCTGGTTTTGCAATTTGATTTCTGCAATGTGATTAATCGCTTGATTTTGGTTCTAGAGTGTTATCAATGATGCATCTACTATCTTTTTTCTTTTTCTGCTTTTACTTTGTTGCTCATATTGATGTTGGACTTGTTTGTTTGGGCTGAGAAATGTGACTCGTGTGAGTCTTTTTTTTAACTATAGTTTTCTTGATCTTGTCCTTATAAAAGATCAGTTAACCTACTGTCACATAACTACATTACCTGAAGCTGTGAATTACATGTGTGAAATCACAAGCACGTGAACTTGCGTTTCCTCTACCACACTGCTGCCTCTTCACAAGAGAGTGGATCAGCTCTCCACGTTGCTGCCTCTACTGCTCCCTGTACTGCTACTCCCTCTGTTGTTGCTGCCTTATCTTTGATGCTACTGCTGCTTTTATGTTGCTGCTACTGCCTCCTATCTTTGATGCTGTTGTTACGCTTGTTGAGTCTCTGCCTTTGCCTATGCTGAGCTTGTGTTGCTGTTATTTCGATTTTGACCTTAATTATAGATTATTCTTCTGATTTTGATCCAAGTGGTTGATGAATTGTCCCTTTCAATGCATACATTCTTTGAATTTTAAAGATGTGTTGAATCCTAGTGGTTAATGAATTTTAAAGACGTGTGCTATAGATATCATAATGCGTTGAGTCCCTTGGCCGTAAATAGTTACACTAGGTTAATCCATATGATGAAGGGACTCACTTTCATCGTACAACTTCTCACTGCAATTTGATCCGATTTGTCTTTTGAGGTAACACAGTTTGAGAAGTTTTTGGATGAAAAAAACCCCCTGATGGATTCATGCATGAATTATTTGCTTTCTTTTGATGAAATTTGAGGTTTTTGTTGATGAGTGTTGTTGAAATTTCTGTTGATAAATGATGGAGATGATTTTTGCAATCAAGTTAGGCTTATTGGTTTATAGAGGACATAATTTCTGTAATCTGGTTCTGCAATCTGATTTCTGCAATGTGATTAATCGCTTGATTTTGGTTCTAGAGTGTTATCAATGATGCATCTGCTATCTTTTATCTTTTTCTGCTTTTTCTTTGATGCTCATATTGATGCTGGACTTGTTCGTTTGGGCTGAGAAATGTGAGTCTTTTTTTTTTTTTAACTATAGTTTTCTTGATCTTGTCCTTATAAAGGATCAGTTAACCTACTGTCACATAACTACATTACTTAAAGCTGTGAATTACATGTGTGAAATCACAATCACATGAACTTGCATTTCCTTTACCACACTACTGTCTCTTTACAAGAGAGTGGATCAGCTCTCCACGTTGCTGCCTCTACTGCCTCCTATCTTTGATGTTGTTGCTGCTACTGCCTCCTATCTTTGATGTTTTTGCTGCTACTGCCTCCTATCTTTGATGTTGTTGTTGCTACTTTAGTGCTGCTACTGCCTCCTATTTTTGATTGTGTACTTTGTATTTTTTTTTCAGTTTTTTAAAGTGTAATATTACAAGTTATTGAAGAAAATATATTTGTTTTATGTATATTATGATTATATATAAGTATTTGGTACAATTTAAGTGAAAAAAATGCAAAAAAAAAAAATTAATTTTTTGGGGTATTTTTGGCACCAGTTTTGGTAAAGAACCGGTGCTAAAAGTTTTTTAAAAAAAATATTTTGGGGACTTTTGGCACCGATTCTAAGTCAAAACCGGTGCAAAAAGTCACGTTTTTGGCACCGGTTCTCACCCAAAATCGGTGCTAAAAGTCTAATTTTGCATCGGTGCGAAATGTCTGGGGTTCTAGCATCCCTCAAATCTGGAACGGTTCAAAACCGGTGCGCAAAGGGGGGTTTGAACCGGTGCTAAAGACCTTTTTTCGCCTAGTGATTTGGCTTGATAACGTGTCGGGTTAGTAACGGTTCGCACGAATTTGGTGCAGCTCAGTTTCGAGTTTGAAAAAACTGGATCAGGTTGGTTTCGGTTTCCAAAAAATGGGTTTTTAACAATTCAGTTTCTTTTCGAATCGATTCGAAACAATCGGGTTTAACGATTTGGATTAAAAACTCACGGCTATAACTTTTTCATTTTATAATAACTTGTACCTTGTACCGTACCAAGATGCCACCAATGACAATTTTATAATATTCTTAGCAACTTCTAGGTTTAATAATTAGGTTATTTTCATTTTTACCACCTTCAAATAATGACTTTGTCGAATTTACCACCTCAAAAAAAAAACATTTACTTTACCACCTCATAAAAAAATTAAACATCAGTTTTACCACCTCATCTGAGCTCAGGTGACGGAAAACGCTTGTGGGGCCCAGCATAACAGCTAGTTTTTGATTTTTTCCCAAATTTCTCTCGATTTCCCTTTTATTTAAACCTAGTTCTTCATTTGTACACCAAATTCTTGCAGATTGGAGATTAATTTTTGTGATTTTCTTCACAAATCAGTATTTTTGGGCAACCTTAACAATCCCAAACCCTCTAATTATCAAACAATCAATTGAACTCCTCGACAACAAGCATCAAAAAGGTAAGCCATTGTCGTTAATTCTCTAGCAATTTTCGTGATTTTTGTTGTAATTTTTTGGCAATTCGTTGCGTGATTATGTTGCATTTGCTAAGAGTAATTGAAATTGGGCGTTTTGTGAGGTCAATTAAACCCCAATTTCAATTAAAATACTTAGGGTTCATGTAAGATTAAATTAGATTGGGGGTTTTTGTTATGTGAATTGGCTACTGAAATTAGGGTTATATTATGGTGATTGTGTTCAAATACAATTAATTTCATTCTTGTTCTTACTGAATTTCAGAAGGGAATGTCTTCAGTTAGCATGTCACCCTCAAAGGAGAAAAAATGCCAATGTGGAGTTCCAATGTCTAGGCTGACTGCTTGGACTAGGGAGAACCCTGGACGCAAGTTTAGGACCTGCAAATTCTATGATCCTGTGACTGAGTCAAGGGGGTGTAAAGCTTTTGAGTGGGTGGATCAACCAGATGGAACACCTTGGAAAACAGAGGTGATTAACAACTTGTTGCTGGACAAGAAACTAATGAAGGGAGAGCTGAATGACATGAAGAGGGAAGTTGATGATGTTAGTGGACAAAGGAGGTACTTGCTCAATGAGATTGACAGCTTGAAGATGAAATGCAAAGCTCTTAGCTCAGACAGGAAGAAGATGATCAAGGAAGTGCATGGCAGCAATGCAACAACAAAGAAAATGCTCACAGTACATGCTATTGTTGTGTTTTGTTGTTTTGGTTTGGTACTGGCTATGTATTTTAGATCTTAGGTTCATTTAGGAATGCTTAGAAACAAAAAAAATCCCCAACTTATGTTGTGTTTTGTTGAATTATTATGTGTGGATGTTGGGATGACATTTCTTGTACTACTTTTAACTAATTCAATGAGAAATGGAACTTTTTGGTAGAAACATATCACATTTCGTATTAGTACTTGCAAAACAATGTTTTTAATTGTTTTACATTGGATGAGACAAAAGTTAAGGCACCTTTGTGCAAAATCATTGTTCAACTACCAAATATACTGCCTACTATACACATGTGTAGTTAATAAACTTGGCTGTCTATTACAAAATACTAATGAGTAGACCTAGGGTCACAGTTGATTGAGATCCTTGTCCTTCTTGCTTGTCATTACATGAAGCTTGGACCTGGTCTGTATTTTGACTTTGGGAGGAGTAGTTGTTGGCACTCTTGTGGGCTGACTCAGGCTCCTGTTGCTCCTGGTAACAGGCTGAGTTGGAAAAGGCTCTGTTCTTGTTGCAGGCTGGCTTGACACAGCAGTTGCAGGTGCAGCATTACTTGACCCAGCCTGTGCTGTTGTTGGAGGCTGATATTGTGGCAACTTCAGTGCAGCCTGCAATCACAGTATGACAAGACTCAGAAACAAAGCCACTAAATACACTCAAGTCACAAAATACACAAAATACCTGTCTTGCTGCTTTCTCTTCACTTTTCTTTCTCTGTTCCTTAAGCCAAGGAGTCTGCATCTGTGGCCTCCCACCCTTTGGATTTGTTGCAGGTGGGTTAGGCTGTTCTGGTGCTGCTTCAGCCTTGCATGTTTTGGCAAAGTGGCCAAACCCACCACAGTTCTTGCATTGTTTCTTCACCTTTGGCTTCTTGCCCTCAGGTGCTGCAGAAGTGCCCTCCCCTGGTTCAAGCTTTCTCTTTTTTGCCTTAGGTCTTCCTGGCTGCACTTTCAGCATAGGTGGCAAAGGCTGTCTGAGCTTGACCTTTTCCCAATTCTTAGGGCCAGGCATTGGCTGTATTGGGTTCTCATATGCATCCAAGTATGTCACCCTATAGTAATGTGGGTGCACATACAACTCAGGATCATCCCTTTTGTCCATTATGCAAGCAAATGCATGGACACAAGGTATTCCTGTCAACTCCCATCTATAACAAGTGCATTTTCTCTCTTGTAGATCCACAATGCACTGATCATCCTTGTATTTCACCTCATAAATTTCATCCCTTGAAGCTGTAACCTCACTTCTCCAACCCATCAAAGATTTTGTTGACAAATGGGGTTAGTAAACCTTCCCAAGACTTTGCTACCTCCCATTTGTCATTACTCCTCTTCATCATATATCTTCTAAGCCATTCCATTTGAGTTAGAATAGGCTTGTCTCTGGCATCTCTAATCACTGCATTAAATGTCTCACACATGTTGTTTAACAACATGTTAGACTTGCAGTTTGTAGAGAAAGCATGCCTTGACCAGTGCTGGGGGTCAATGTTTGACAGCCACTGGTATGCTTCTTCATCCAAAAAATTGATACTTTCCATAGCAACTTCAAACTCAAACTGATACAACCACACACATGACAACCATTCAACACAACATAAACACATGGCATACAGTTTTCACAAAATAGAAAGACATGCAAATATGTGCAAAACTAAATGTTCCTAGCATACATTATAGTTCACCATAAAAATGACATAAAAGAACCTAAATAGAAGCTTACCAGAGTGCTTGCCCTAGCAGCAGCCCAGAACAATTCCTTGAAAGTTGCACCATGAAATTTCAGTTTGAAATTTGACCAAATATGCCTCACACAAAATCTGAGCTCAGCTTTGGGGGCCACATCTGCAAATGCTTCTATGAGACCCTACACACAAGGAAAAACTAACAAGTTAGTGTACAGAAAATTCAAATAAAGCAAAGTAATTTAAACACAAACACAACCCACTTACTTTTTGTCTGTCAGACATAAAAGTCAAGCCATCTCAATGGTCATACACACAAAGTGCCTTGAGCAAGCTCTCCAGAAACCAGCACCAGCTGTCCTTGTTCTCAATCTCTGCAGTTGCCCAAGCAATTGGGAAGATGGCATTATTGCCATCTTTTCCAACTGCAACCAAGATCTGCCCAGGGTATGCCCCTTTTAGATGGCACCCATCCACCCCAATTACTGGTCTGCAACCAGAAATGAATCCATCCCTAAGTGCAGCTAAGCACACAAACATCCTCATAAAAATTGGTCTTTCAATTTGACTAATATCATCCACCACTACATTACACTCACTCCCTGGGTTCCATTTCAGCAGTGCCTTCCCATAGTCCCAAACCTTTGAGTATTGCTCTGATGAAGAGCCATATATTATAAGCTTTGCCCTGCTTTTAGCCAACCAAGCCTTGGAGTATGTAATTTTGATCCCCAAGTCATTCAAGGCCCTGTCCTGAATCTGTTTAATCTTCCATCTGGGGTTGCCCCTGAACTCCTCCAAGTACCTGTCAGCAAGGAACTCTGCTGTCACCTTGTTGTTCATTTTACTCCTAACACACCTATGCTTCAGCCTTAGTGTCTTAATTTGCCAAGCCTCTGATTTCACAAGCCTTGTTGCATAAAACTTGAACCTACACCTAACACCCTTACTACATGTACACTTCACTATCCTACGACTGTTCTTGTTATACACACACTTGCATTTCCTTTTGCAATATGCTGTTAGCCTCTTTGAATCATTGTGAAGAAGGTAATACTCATACCTATTTTCAATTGCATGTTGTCTCAAAGCTTTTCTCATTGTTTGCACATCACTGAACCTTTGACCAACTACAAATTTGATAGCCCTTTCAAAGTCTGTCTCAGGGTTAAACCAAGTAACACTACCCTGATCATCATCTGAATCACCTTCCACACTCTTTAGCTCATCAGAATCACAAGCTGCCTCCTCTTCAACCCTCACTTCAATTTTCTGTAGATTTATTTCTATGTCAAACCCTGTGTCCTCATCATCACTTTGATCCCCTCCTTCAGTAACTCCCCTCAAACTGCCTTTCACCTCACTGTTAATATGGTCTAAATTTTTCTTCAACCACTGTTCATCATCATCAGAGTATAAGTCCTCCTCTCCCTCATCAACTTCTAACTCAAAATCACTCAACTCAGAATTAGAAGACTCTGTATCACCATCCTCATCAGTAAACACATCACTGTCATCCCTTAAGCTCCTCACTCTTTCTTTTATTTTTCTCACTAAATTAGCAAAATTTCCAGTCTCATCCCCAACCTTAGCCTTACCCTTATCTGCAGCAGTGAGTTTACCCTTCCCTTTATGTGTATTAGCATTCACTTTCTCTGCCCTAGGAAGCCTCTCCTCAGCCTCTCTGTCATGTATAACAATGCCTTTTAACCTAGGGCTTCTCCTAAATGGCTCTTCTTCAGTGGGCTTACTAAGTTTTGGGCTGGGTTTATATACTTTAGGCCCACCAAACCTCTTTTTCAGTTCCTTCCTTTGTGCAGGGGTTAGCTCATTCCCAGCTATACATTTGAAGGGTGTTTTGTTAGTCCCTTCAATTGGCTCATGACTGGTAACATACATCTCACATGCCCCCTCTTTGTTCACAGACTCTAGGAAACCATTCACCTCACCATCAACAAGCTCCCTTTTACCATTCACCCAAGACTTGCCCTTTTGTTTATACCAGCAACTAAACCCCCTAGGAACCTTCACATTCACATACACAAACCCATGTATAGCTGCTTGCCTCAAAAAGTGTACATCTATCTTATTTTTTTCCACTTTTCTCATCCAATAAACCCACCCACCATCCCAAGTTAACACCCTCCTATTTTTACCAGCTAAAGAAGGTATAAAGGCACCCCCTACTGTAATTTTTAAGTCCATTGTTTCCATTCTGTAACAACACCAACAAAAGCACACACAACAATAACCAATTTCAGTAATTACAGTAAACAACAACAACCAATTCACCAATTACAACAAGTAAAAGCAATTCACATTGACTATGCATTAAATTAACAGTAAACAAGTAAATCTAATTAACTAATTATTTAACAAATGCACACTCTAATTCAGTCAAAGATTCGCATAATTAGGGTTTATAATACTTTAATTCACAGATTCCCAAAAAAGGCATACTTTACCCCAATTGACAACCATAAATCCAACGAAATGTACTAATAAAGGGTTTGAATTACCTCTTGTAGTCAGGAATCTCGATTTCTGTCAGCAAATTACCAAGTTTTTGGTCCCCTCACCCTGTGGAAGATGACAAGAGAAGCTGATGTGTTGCAATTTTGTGGTTCCAGCTCGATTTCAACCACCCAAATTGATCTAGGGTTTCAGTTTTTACAGAGAGAAAGAGAAAAATCAAAGGAGAGAGAAGCAGTTACAGTGAGAATCAAGAAAAATCAAAGGAGAGAGAGACGAAAATTGATGAGGAAGTGAGAAATTTGGTGAGACATTGATTATGGAAGGTGGAAGGTGAGAAAAGGAGGAGACAGAGGGAAATCGATTTTAAAAGAAATTAAATTGGAGGGAAGTGACAGTTAACTGGGCCCCACAAGCGTTTTCCGTCACCTGAGCTCAGATGAGGTGGTAAAACTGATATTTAATTTTTTTATGAGGTGGTAAAGTAAATGTTTTTTTTTTTGGAGGTGGTAAATTCGACAAAGTCATTAGTTGAAGGTGGTAAAAATGAAAATTTCCTAATAATTAAAAGCAACCACACTCCAAATAATTAAACATAGGCAATTTTTAGATCTATTACGACCTTAAATTTCTCCCTACTTCTATTTCACCTTCTTCAACAATCGTAAATATATATATGAAGATATCGACTTTGCCATTTTTTACTACGGTTTCCTTGATTTGGTTACGTGTTTATTGACGTTAATAATAAGTTGCTATCTCTAATTTTAATTCTTCTTAGGGGTTATGTTAATAGTGTGTCTCCTGTGTGACGAATGAAATGAGCTTTTTTTTTTTAATTTTTTTTTTTATTAACTACTTAGTCTGTTCATTTGATGATGACAATTAAAGAAGATAGACTGAAACGAACTACGTATACAATTGAATTAGGTGGAAGCTCGACAGTCACTTTATATTAATTGATAACTTTTATTATAACAAATCGATGTTCAAAATTAGCCATGAAAAAAAACCCTTTTCAAATTAAAGCAATAATACTTTTACATTCCTAATTGTTAGGAACTAGGCATCCATATATAACCTTCATAATCTTATTATCTAAACATTCTTAATTATATTAAAGAATGAATGAAGAGGAACTATCTACCATACGTCACCTCTAGTAAGCAGCTTGTCGGTACTAAAACTATATACTTTTTGAGACAAGTGAGAGCTGTCCACTAATATTGTGTGGGCATAATGCATATCTACAAAATCATGAAAGCGATCAACCCAAGATCATATTAGATCATCCATATAATAATGTCGAATGTTGTTAATTAGTCTATTTGTATGATAGGAGTACCATTAGAATCGTGTAATTTTTCGTTTTAAAAATTATTTAATGCCGACTTGATCGAAAAAGAGGATCGACTCTTATGATGGATGTTGGCTGATTTAGCTCCACCAACTCATTTGCTCGTGCGTTTGTAGCTAATTACAGCCACAAAAGCCTACAAAAAAAAGGTAAGGCGAGGGTCCAACATTAGAGTGGGATAAAAAATGTTGTGAGAATTATATTGCATGTTAATGATGATAGGATTGAGAAAGTCTATATGTTTTGGCATTTGGAGAAAATATATACTACCTCCGTTAAATGTTATGTGCAACTTTGGAATATTTTATATCTCACAAATAATACCCCAAAGTTACACATAACATTTAACGGAGGTAGTACTTCACCCGCTTACAATTATGTGCAACAAAGGGGTATTATTTGTGAGATATAAAATATTTCTTTGTTGCACGTAATTGTGGACGGAGAAAGTATAACAAAGACAATTTTATGCAAGGATGACATAACTATTGATTTCTTGTCATATATTCATATGGTATGATTCACGTGCTATACTAATATATAGGCCCCTTAAGCAAGCATATATGTGCATGGATTATCTGTTGTGTATGTCCTAACTTTTTATGTACTTTTCCTTCTAAGAAATATGTATATGTATGGGCTAGATAGTCATGCTTGGTTTTCAGATATAATGTCAATGCACAATTTATGACTTATTGTTAAGCATCTCGAGTCATGTTTTCACAAATGAGTATTTAGCTTATTTGCACAAACGAGTAATTGTGCAAGTAAGAAAATTGAAACAAGTAAATTTGCTCATTTTATGCAAATAAATAAGCAAATTTGATAACTTGTTTTATTTTACAAGGAGCAGACGATTGAGTAATAACTAATAAGTAATAAAAGTTGACAATGTTAGATTTTTGTAAGTAATATTGTGAGACATAGATTATTAGTACTAAAAAAAAGTCAATATCCGAACACAAAGACAAATTAGATATCAATTCACATATATTTGTCTCCAACCTTAAATCCATGGCACGAAATAAGCCAACTTATGAACTACATTATTACACGTCCAACTAGAAAAACACCACAAAACACTACAAAAATAAAACCTTATAAACGTGAAAAATATCATCAAACAAATGGTGAAAAGCACTCTAGCTTTCTTCTAGTCAAAATAGTCTCTAGAATGGGACCTACAAACAGAAACAATAATAAAAGTTGGACGGAGGTATCAAAAGCTATATTTTTGTAAAAAGTTTGACAGGTAGTAAAATAAAATAAAATTTTAGATAGGTATCAAAAGTCAACAGAGGCCATTTTCGAGATACCAAAAATCAAAATTTCCTATATAAAAAAAGACACTTAATTGGTATGTAAATGAGAAGTTGTATATGAAAATAAGGGTAAGTTGATCTATGGTATAAACTGTATACTAATAATACTCTTAGACAATATATAGTCTGCTTAATGACTTTTTGTTATTTTTTGCAAGTTTACCCGGTAATTCAAAGCCTATTAGACTTTAACTAATTCGGTAATTTTGAGTTAAGTCGAGCCTCAACTAGGGGGGAAACTTTCCCCACAAATGTCTCTGCACTCCCAAGTCTTGAATTTGAAACCTTGATTTTATCAGCTGATTCAAGCACTTATTTGTTTTGCAATGCTAATTAATTGTTAATATAATATTATGAAGTCTCATAGCATTTTATATAAGAGATTATGTAAGACTGATATGTTAGAGGTCGAAAATCAAGTGTCATTGTCAATTACATTTCTTCACTTAATCTCACAATGATAGAACTTTCTATTAAATTAAAAAAAAAAATATTGACGTTCCATGAGGATGGGAGGCGCAACATTAAGTACAAAATCACCCTATACCTATATCTATAGCTAGGAACGTTTTTGATGTTTAATATATCATGATATTATTATTATGAGGTGTTTTATATAATTATATTTGCCTCTTCATTAATAGGATGACTAATAGCAATATTTTAGTGCTATAAAAGGGTCACCGAAATTCGTAGGTCTTTGATAGGTCACTTCAAACGATGGTACCACGAAACATATGCCCTTTGACTTACCAACATTGCTTTATAATTGGGGACAAAATCTTATCTTCATTAAACTATCATTATTAATTTGTAATCGAACTATTATGGAAGAAGTCATGATTAGTACGGAGTATGTTTATTATATTTTGACTAGAAAATGACTAAGTTTTTAATTTGTTTAAGCATTTCAAACCATATAAAATTGTAGGGGTCATAAACATATCTTGGAAAATCTTTCTTATCCTATAGAAAACTTGTTAGATTATAAATTTGAATTATCCTTTGAGCTTCACTGTAACCCTTGAAGAAAAGCAATGATAAGAACTAACATGAATTGTGTTTGTACATTGTAATGCAAAGACAACTTCTACATTGCTAATAATTTCCTTTTTTAGTTTTTTTTTTTTTTGGTGCAATGAAAAGATAAATTTGTTTTGATCAATAGGCACAATAGCCCTTTGACATCTACTCTTCTAAACATTTGATACTTCGTAACAAATATCTAACATTAGAAAAAAATTAATCTCACTAAAAAAGAAAAAACTATTGTTTGATAAATCTGCATGTCCTTATTCGAGGGGTTTATAATGACAGTTTTCAAAATTGAGGCAATTCTTTTCTTCAGATTAAACCATAAATTGGTATTCACTTTCATCATCAAACCAAGATTCAAAACATCAAATCTAACCAAGCTTCAGTAGGCTATGTAGGACCCTTTGGTTTAACTCCTTTCTTCCTAATTAAAGTTACACCTTAATGAAATGATCAATTCTAAGCAGTGAAACATCTCCAACCCATTAATTCTCTGTTACTATATTCTCATATGAATAGTCACATGAAAGGAAAAAGGGGTTAATTTGTGTCATTTACGTTATGACACCTAACCCCCAAAGTCCGTGTTGTTCATTGCTCCACTTAAAGTTTGTGCTATTGAACGCACCCAAGTAATGATTTATGTTGTTTTAGCCAATTTTTCCTAATATAATTCAAAATCAAACTTGAAAGAAGATTGAAAATTACTGCATAGTATAAATCATACGATTGTTGTATATACTAACATAGCTAGAAATATTACAAATTTTTGTTATTAAAACATGAAAAAAAGCTTATGGAGTATTTGTTATAAGTGGTTGTGAACATGAAAATTTTGTATTCTTAGACAAGTGTGTCATTAGAATTATGTTAGGTTTTTAATTCCAAATTGCATGCTCATTGAATGGAATAATTAAACCAATAAAGAAAATGTTTAAGCTAGAATTCTTGTAAATCAATTTGACTAAATTCACAATACGGAGTACATCCTTTAGCTCCTACGTACTTCGATCCGTTCTTGTTATCACTAGTCGTTAAAAATATTTTTATTTTAAAAAAATAATAATAATAAAAACGTGGACAGATGAAACCAAACAAAGAATGAAAATTGATTCTATTATAATACTAAAAGGTTAGATATTATGAATTTCAATAACAAGTACATCATGTAATTTTTTCTTGAAATGAACATGATCATGATCTTGATATTGTTCTAAATAGAAAACTTCTTCTTCATAGTTTGGTATCTTGTTGTCCAATAAATATTGATCCTTTGATTTTCTCCTCTTGAGTCTCATAATTTGATTTCTGGTTGTCTAGTGAATATTGGTCCCTTGATTTGCTCCTCATTAAGTGTGGTTTAAGCTTATCAACATCTGATGACCTAACCGGCTTTAGGAAAAATTCATTAGCACCCTCCTCTAAGCACCTGCATGCGCCATACATTAATAGTCGGTACCCATGCTAATGCACAAGAAGTTAAGAAATTATTGGGTGCGATAAATAAATTATTTCGGCGAATAAAAAAAAAATCATTTTTTTTCCAGTACGTGATATTTCTTGGAAAGGAAATGAAAGTGTACATGTTTATACATTACCTATTTATTCTATCCGGAATATTTTCAGAGGACATAATCACGACTGGAATATCTTTAAGATTCTCAGACTCCTACAAAATCAAATCAAAAATATATTATAATCAACTTAAGTATATCAAGAAAATAAAATCATGCAAAAGGATTGTAAAAATCTTCAATTTTTACCTTGATTTTCCTAAGGAGATCATATCCAGTCATTCCAGGCATACAATAATCAGTGATTATCAAATTCACCTCCAATTCCTAGTGATAATCAACCACAATTAAAATTAAATACAATAACGTAAAACTAAGAAATTAGTTATAAAAAAAAAAAATTAAAAAAAAAATTGATGAAATAGTTTTTGTTCGTTGTAACGTACATTTCCTTGCAAACCCAATAATTCTAAAGCCTTGGTGCCTGAATCCACTGCGGTTACTGCATGCAAACAACAAGAGTAACATGACATTTTAGTATTTTACCGATTTACCATACTTTTATAGGGTTTTAAATTAAATGGTACGATTTTTCACATAAAACAAATAGTGTCGGATGTAGAATATTTAGTATGGAGAGGCACTAAATAAAAATAAATAAATAAAATGCTTGTATAAGGACTTCAACCTAAGTCTTAAACACATACTCAATGCATTACCACTATAACAAAACTAATTTGATGTTACTTATTGCATTAAAATTGTATTAACCTATAAATTTACACATTCACCTTAATAAAATAAAAAAACAAAAATTTTGACGGGATCGGTGCCACCCAGACCCTTAATAAATCTGCCCTTGAAAACAATGGTAATATAGTAATTAATGTATAGTAGGACGAACTTTAATTTTAACTTAAGTTCAAGAATAAATGTCAATGAATACTAAATAATTGATGCATAGCAATACTTGTATTTCGAATTAAAATAACTAAAAATTCATTCGAATTTGAAAAAAAAAAAAAATTAATGTACGGCCCATCCAGTTGCTAGAGAGAATTCGATGATCCCTTTTCAAAGAATTGAAGTTGACAAAATGCATGCTAATTAAATGGATTTTCTAAAGGAGCAAAATTATGTAACTAACCTTGGAAAGAGGATGTAGTTAGGAGCCTCTTAATGAGCATTCTATCAATGTTGCTATCATCAACGGCTAGGACGTGAAATTGAGTATCAATAGCCATGCTTGACGACTATGCTATAAGAAAGCAATGTATGGTTAAGAAGAAAAACACGACAACTCGATGATCGATTGTTATACAGGTAGGAAGGTGCACACTGCTTGTGGTTGATAACCTTTGAAGAAGGGGTGATTAGTAGTGTTTATATATATATATATATATATATATATATATATATATATATATATATATATATATATATATATATATATATATATATATATATATATATATTACATGTAAACGTGTGATATGGCTTATAAAAGCTTGTATAGGATCTTTACAGTTTGGAGGAGATATGAGACAAAATAATATTATTGATATGAATCTCTATCTTCTGATTTTTTCTAATTGATTTTGATATTATGTTGATAATATACAATGTACAAAGAAGTTTCTTGCTATGTTTCCAATTTGAATTTTATTATATTATTATTATTATTATGATCTTTTTTTTACTTGGTGATGCCTTGACTCTTAGAAAGAAGATTTAGGCCATAGTAGATAGCTTAATTATGCTCTTAAGGGCTAACAATTAAGATATATTATCCTCTAATTTTGGGCTATATAATCATGGATAATCAACAAGAACATCTCTTCTTGATCCTCTTGGTTTGATTCCTAAAATTGTTGATTTCCTAGCAAAATCATGATTGACCATTACTGGTTTATAAGTTTGACAGAGAGCTCACCAATGAGAGTCAAGTTTTGTATCACACTTTTATTGCGTATATATGTTGTTATTTGAACCAAATTTTTTTTATGTACTTAACAATTTAAGAATTGACGATATCACCCTTATAAGCTTCCAAATTTTAAAAATAGTGTAGGTATGTACAAGCGATGTGTGTGAGAAACTTCATACAATATGCAAAAGCATACATAATCCTATACAATATAATAATGTTATTGTATGCATGTGTGGATATCAATTAAATTAGTTGGTCAAAGTGTTGGAGGTGATATCCAAGACATAAGATCGAATCTCATCTACATCATTGTCCTTGAGGCTCTTTATAAAAAAAATGATATTAAAATCTCTTCTACTAATACTTTAATTATATTTATACTATAGATTCAATATATTTTACCCTTGTGTTAGTTATATAATGGATTAAAAATAATTATTCCTTCCCTCATTTCCTTTTTTGTTTGTCCTACTTTAAATCTTTACTTTGAAGAATGTGCAACTTTAATGATGAAGAAACTTTAATAATTATTATTGAAAAAAATAATCATATATACTTTATTTTTTAAGTTGACATGCATGTTTCTTTTATCACAATTGTCAATGCTAATTTTTAAAAATTAATAATAACTCTAATTATTGTCATACGTTGTAAAATCCTTGCCTTTGATTTTAAAAGTTTGAAATAATTCTTATGAATAGAAATTGGACAAATAAAACCAAGAAAATGTTTATTTATTAATTATTTGCCCTCATTAATGTATATTGTCTCTTTTTTGAACTCTAAAGAATAGTACGTGTACATATATACCCCTATATATATGTATATACATATATACATATATATATATACATATATGTATATATGTATTTATATACAGTATATATACTGTATATATATATATATACATATATATATATACATATATATATACATATGTGTGTGTGCGCGCGCGTGCGTGCGTACGTGTGTGTGTATTCATTAATGTTGTCAACAATGAAATTTGTGACTAAAGCTGGGCATCGTGCTGTGCCATGCTGTGCCGGCGTGCCAGAGGAGGCGTGTCGTGCCGCCCAAAGTCACAGGCCAGCCCACTTGCACGGCCCACGTGCCAGGCGGGCTCGTGCCGTGCCAGCCTGCGTGCTGGTCTGGCGGGCCTTCCCTTTTTTTTTTTTTTGTTAATGGTTTATAAGTTATAAACTTATAACTTATATTATAGCTTTATATTATTATTTTTGTAAAATAAATTAAGTTTAATATTTATGTTTTATTACTTTTTATATTTAATATTTATATTTATATATTTAGTTTATACTATTACTTTAAAATTTAATGTTTATAACTTATTATATTTATTTTTGTATTATTAATTGGTATAATTTTATCTTTGTTATATTAATTTACAAATTATAACATAACGGGAAAAAAGGCAAATTGGACTTTGGATGTGAATAATGCATAATTCATATTATTATTACTTGAGAAAATTGTACAATGATAACCTAGGTTGCACCGACACGGACACGGACACGGGTAATGGCAATCCTAAAATAGGGGACGGGTACGACAAATAACAAGACAAATAATATATCAAAAAAAACGAGATTTTGACAATCTATTCAACAAAACACTAAATAATTAACCTTAAAATAAGTCATTTACCGTAGCTAAATAATATTCTCCTAATTCACATACAATAATGTGCTATAAAATGTGTTTTGAAGGCGCTCGTATTATAACTCTTACCTTTTTCTCTCATACTTTACCTTAACTTTCTAATTAAAAAAGTTAAAAAGATGAGGTTACATATCAAAATGCAAACCGGATCGTATCACAGTAGGATACGATTTGTCTTAAAGTGTCTAAATATATTAAAAAACCGGATGCAGTTTTTATGTGTGTCCGACGTGTGTCGAACGAGTGTCGGTGTCGGACACGGATACAGCTGTTGGACGAAGTGAGATGATAACAATGATAAAATTCGTACAATGATATTAAACAAAAATTGGATAATGATAATATTGAAAATGATAATGATTAAAATCGTACAATATACAAAAATTGTCTATTCTTCTTCTTCTTGTTGCTCGTCTTCGTCTTCGTCTTCAGCTTCAAGGTCATCGACTAGTTGCATAGATTGGGAACTAGCCGAACCCGAACGGTAGGAAGCGGAGGTTTCTTCATCGTTGTCGTTGTCGTCGTAAGAACGGTCTTATGAGCGATTTTCCGCATCCAACCAATCTTTGAAACACACGCACATTTCAAGTGTTTTGGGTTTTATACTTGTTCTTCTATCGTCCAGAACCCTCCCGGATGCGCTAAAAGCTCGTTCGGAGGCAACGGAGGAGACTTGGATACCAAGAATGTCTCGTGCTATTGCCGCCAAAGTTGGATGCTTCGTGCTTTGTTGTTTCCACCATGCAAAGAGGTCGAGGCTGTTTCATCGTCGTCCATGCCTTTGGTGAAGTCGTAACTCAGGTACATCTGCAACTCCGAGACATCGCTTTGCGTTTTCCTTATTGATGAATCACCTGAAAACCTTGAAATCAAGTTAGTAGCCTGTGAAAATAAATGTTTGGCCTTCTTACTTACGTTTTTGGATGGTTGGGAAGGGCCTGAGCGAGGAATGGTGCCATATTTGATTTCATAGACTCTATATAAAGCAAAAAACTGATCCTTCACATTAGTCTTATAGGTTTCTACATCATCGTCAAGAAGCATGCATTGAAAATAAATGTCAACTAACATAAATGTGTTTTCATACTTTTGCCTAGGATCTAATATAGAAGCAAAAATATAAATCAAAGGAATTTCACTATAATATTTACGCCACTTTGTTTACATTGCTGGAAGATACTGATCATAAAGACTTTGGTTGCGATGATCAGCGAAAGTTAGGCGAGTAAACATGCATTAGAAAGAAAGTTTTGAGCACAAGAATTGTAAACAGAAGAAAAACAAAACGTCATGTTATATAATAAATGTAAAAATTGCATATATCTTTCACAGTTATACCAATCATCCTCAAATAAAGCATTTTGTGGAAATTTTTGGATGTAAAAAATTGTCAGCGGATTCTTGTACTCAATTGCCTTGGTTAACATGTCATAGGTGGAATTCCACCTAGTTGGGCAATCGGTTTTAATTTTTATTGCCCTTATTTTTTGTTGTTTTAGAAAACCCTTCCATTCTTGGTATCTCATGTTTGAGCTATTAATAGGCATAATAGCATCTCTGACTTTGTTGTAGTATGGGCCAATTGCCCAATTCCATCATGTACACATAAGTTAAGAACATGACAAACACATCTAGTATGAAGAGCATCACCATTTAATATTACATCGGTTAAGTTTTGTTTTACATAATTAGCTGTGTCATAGAGGTTGCATTGTCAAATGTCATTGACATATTTTTTCTCGAATGTTGTATTCATTTATTGCTTCCATTAAATGGTGAGCAATGTTAATGCCGGTGTGTGGGTATTCCAACATTTTGAAATGGATTATTCTTTTTTGTAACAACCAATGATCATCTACCCAATGGCAAGTCACACATGAATAATGATATTTATAACCACTATCCCAAGAATCGGCAGTCAAAGATACTCTACAGTTAAGTCTACTTAATTCGTCTTGTAACCGCACTTTGTACTCTAGGAAATTTTTCATGGCGGCAGAACGAACGGTTTTCCTAGAGATTCTTTTATGTTGGGGTTGTAATGCTTTGTTAATGTAAGTGTTAAATGGGTCACTTTCGGAGAAAAGAAAAGGTTGTTCGGCGTGAACTATCATTTTCCCTAGTTCATCCCTATCCCTCTCATAGTTGTAGGTAAAGCCGTGTGGATGGAAGTGGGAAATTTTAGGCTGGGTTGGATCACTAGCTGGTTTTGCACAAGTATTCATGTGTCTAGTTAAGTGTCCTGTCCCGGATTTAGATTGTGTCGAGTAAATATGACCACATGTTTTACATTTTGCTTTTGTTTGGAGTTTATTTAGGAGGAAATAACGCCATACATCACTTTTGCGGCTTTTGATAAGTAGCATCTCACTTTCGGTTAACCATTCGTCATGTGTATTTGGGTATTGGGTGTTTGTAGAATCGGGGATTTGGTGGTTAGTAGTAGAAGAGGTAGAACCGGAGATATTTTGGGTATCTTGTTGGCTACCTTGGCTAGAATAAAAATTTTGTGAGTCAAAGAAGTTAGGTGAGAATTGACTAAATTGTGGGAATTGGTTTAGTGGTGGAAATTGGTTTGGTGGTGGAAATATGGGCATGTTATAAGGTTGAAAATCGGAAGTACCGTCGTGCCTAAATTGGTCATAGCCTGGGGGAAGTTACCGGGGTCATTGGTCGGACTCGGAATTTAGGGGGTGGTTGGATTAGGTGATTCCCTAAAACTACTACCACAGACAAGTTTGGCTTTCCCCTTCCCCCTAAATGATGGGTTGTTCGATGCCATAATTAACAATAAGAATTTTAATAATAACTAATTAACAATAATAATAATTAATAACAACAATTTTAACAATCATAATTACTAACAACAATAATAACAATAACAATAACAACAATAATAAATAATAACAATAATTGTAACAATAATAATAATTAATAACAACAATTATAACAATAACAACAATAATAATTAAAAAAGACTATTGTAATAATAACAATTATAACAATAACAATAAAAGATTATAGGGTTATTGGTAAATGTGCCTCTATCTAGGTCATTCTGACCTAGGGAGCTGTGCCGTTTTGTGGCTTTCCACGGGAATTAGGCCCTGAAGGTCGTCATTTTCGCCACTAATTGGAAGTATCATGTGTCAGCTAAGGATTGATTCATTTTGAACCTCTCCTAAGGTGACACGTGTCACCCTCTAGTTGGACTACATGACCTGGGTATTTTTCACCCAAAATAGATGTATATATACATATATGTAAATATACGCGTACACATGCACAGAGATGAATAAATTTTAGTAATGAACAAGTACGTTTTGTAATGACTTGGGCTTAGCGATCAAATATATGGTATGTAGATGCTTCTTTATTATCTTATGTAATTGTTGAAGTCAATGAAATTGGTTGTATACTTGATTAATTAGGGATTAACTATTGAATTAAGTAGTCTATAACATTGTGTTACATAGCCTACCTCTAATATATCAATAAAGCTAGCTTACAACTTTCAAAATGTAACGTAAAATAACATTCTAGGATAAGTGATCATTAAACTAAGCTTGATGATTTCTTTGATTAGCTTCAATAAAAACTCATTTGCTCCCTCTTCCAAGCAATTGTTCCATTTTTTGCCATCAACAAATTAAAATTAAATTAATTTTCACAAGTAATTACTAAATCTAGCTCTTTTATGTCATCTTTGTTGTAAATTAAGATAATGAAAATGAGTTATTATTATATATCATCATTTTTGTGAAAAAAGTAACGATTTATCACTATGTAATGTAATATATACGTACGACTTTCAAGACAAATAATATCAATAACATGAAAAATATAGTTTCTTCGAAATATTATTACTAACTGTGTTTCTTATTATTTACAGCAAATAAATTTTTTATATATGTTGTATAACCCCTTTGTCGTAAATAATAAGAAACAAAGGTAATATTATCCAATCAAAAGCTTACTATTACTTGTTTATTCTGGAAGGGATATTCTCAAGAGGACATGGACACCACTGGTATATCTTTTAGATTCCTATAGATTCTTGAATATCATTTTTTTTTTAATATAATATTGATCCCTAGTATAATACAAAGACTAGTATAAGAGTGTAGCAAATATTTTATTACCTTTAATTGTTAGTCAAGACACCTTTACAATAAATATATCATAAGATAAATTGCTAGGAGAAGCAATATAATTTCACAAATTCTCAAAAAGACGGGTGTATGTTAATTTATTGTAAAACGGGTTAAAATTATGTTAAAATTACTTAAAGTTATTCTTTATATTGCAAAAGTTACTATTTTTCTATTAATAAATTTTATCTTACAAAAAACTTATAATGTATTAGATTAATCATAATAGTCTTTATAGTATGTAATCACGTATCTATAAGAAATTACACATTAAAATAAAATTCAAATTAAAAGTTACCCTTTAAGTGTTAAAGTTACCATAAAAATAGTTAAACTTATGCTCAAACTAACCATTTTACAATAAAATTAATGTATACCCGTTGCACATAAGACATATTTATATAATTTTGTTTATAAAAAAAACCTAGGCTAAAATTATAATAATTAAAATGGTATATACCTTAATTTTCTTGAGAAGTTCATACCTAGTCATTTCAGGCATACTATAATCAGTTATAACTTTTTTTTTTTGAAATAATAATCAGTTATAATTAAATTAACCTCCATTTCCTGATAACATAAAGATAAAATGCAATTAATTAACCAAATTGTCAAAAGATGAATTTCCAAATCCTAACTTATTTAATGTTGAATTAGTACTTGATGATATATAGTGTGTGTCACTAATTTGTTCATTTCCTCGCAAACCCAAAAACTCTAAAGCTTTAATGCCTGAATCCAATGTAGTCACAGCATAATCAAAACATGTAATCTAATTAGTGAAGTAGTCTTAACTAAATTTAATTAGTGCTACAAGAAAACTTGATACATGTAATGGGAGTGTATGATAAGAAAAAAGTGACATATTAATATGTTTTCTTCGGACTAAAAAAAAACATTTTCTTATGTCATTATCTTTATTATGATAAATTGATAATCCGTTTAGTACATGAAAAAAAAAAAAGTTAGAAAAGAATTTACAATAGTATAATTGGACAAAAAATTATTGAAGTGGAATGAACTTTAAAAGAAAAGTTAAAGAAGAATTTGGAACAATTTTTCATTCTTTTTATAAATCAAAAAAATAAATTTAAAGATATTAAATGCTAATTCTTCATCAAAATCATTACTCATTAATTTATCATTATTGTTGAATTAATCTAAATTTAAGTTAATGCATGAACCTCGAATAGAAGAGACTCTAAGGCGCCTCTCGATGATCTTTCTGTCAAGAGAATTATCGTCAACAACAAGAACATAGAATCGTGTATCCTTATATAGCCATAGTCATATAGCTTAGAAAATGTAATATGACTCTAATATAACTCCAAAAGAATATATATATATATATATATATGAAGGGTGCAAACTATTGATGACCTTTTTAGGGTATTTCATAATAATATTAATATATTATGATGATAGGTTAATTATACTAACTTGGCTTACTTGGGTTAATTATACTAGCTTACTTGGGATCCTTGTCAATTTGAAAATGATATGAAATCATACATATATGATTCTGAATCTAATGATCTCTTTAATTTCTCTTGATTTTGATTTGTGAGAAATTTTCATATTAGTATATTACAAATTTTCTATGATATATTGATAATGTCATATAAAAAAATAATATTTACAACTATTATTATATTCTGATTATCCATTTACTTGGCGATACTTTAATTTGACTCTTGAACAAAAGATTAGGCCATGATATAATAATAGAGTGTTCACGATACACTTTTACTAGGCACAAATTCTTATATATGGCTGGCCACCACTAGTAGAAAAAACGAAATAGGCACCACCCCCCTTTAGCACCGGTTCTTGAAAACCGGTGCCAAAAGAAATGGGCGGGAGTGAAAAATTGAGAGTTGGCACCGGTTCGAACTAAAACCGGTGCCAAATATTGAGAGTTGGCACCGGTTCGAACTCAAACCGGTGCCAAATCCTGTAATTGGCACCGGTTCAAACCGGTGCCAACTTAAAAAAAAAAATTAAAAAATGGTATGGAAGAGAGTTGGCACGGGTTCACCGGTTCAACCCGGTGCCATTTATGAGATAAAATTGGGTTTCATTTCCTTAATATACTCCGTATAATACTTCAATTCATTCTTCGTTTTTCAATTCAACCTTTCATTCTATATACAAGCAGCTTCTTCGTTTTTATTCTATGATCTCTAGCTCTACATGCTCTCCTTCCTCATCTCTCATGCTCTTCTTCTCTCGATCTCTAGCTCTGCATGCTCTCCTTCCTAACAACCAAGCCGTCGCCGTCAACCACAACAAACATCGCCGTCGCCTTAAATCTGGGTAATTTATGGGTTTTTCGGTTTCTGGGTTCTTGAATCTGGGTAATTTCTAGGTTTTGGGTTTCTGGGTTCTGGGTTTTTTCACGATTTTGCTCGATTTTTTCTGTGTTCTTAGGGTTTCTGGGTTTTTTTTTTTCTAGGTTTCTGGGTTTTGTGGGTTGAATCTTTTTGGGTGTATTTGTGCGAAATCGTTCGTTTTTAATGGGGTTTAATTGATCAATTTGTGTTCGATTTTTTGGGTTTAATTGTTCAATTGACTTTCGATTTTTTTGGGTTTATTTGTTCCATTTATATTTTGTTTTTTTGGTTGAATTTATCTGGGTTGAATCTTAGTGCCTTGTTCGATTTTTGTTCAATTTTTTGGGGTTATTTGTTCGATTTATTTTCGTTTTTTTGGGTTTATTTGTTCTATTTATTTTTGGTTTTTTTTGTTGAATTTATCTGGGTTAATCGTTCGTTTGTAAGGGGTTCTTTTGGTCGAATTTTGTTCGATTTTTTGGTTTATTAGTTCTATTGATTTTCGATTTTTTTGGGGTTTATTTGTTCGATTTTTGTTCGATTTTGTGGGTTTATTTGTTCGATTTTTGTTGAATTTATCTGATTTTATTGTTTGAATTGATGCAAGTTTGAAGGTCGTGAATTTGCTGAGTATGAAGTTCAAAGTTTCTGGGTTTTGGATTGTAATTTATTTTTCAGCAATTTCTTTGTTTTTTTTAATAAATTGTAAAAAAAAACAATTTATTTGATGAATATAGCCTTGTTCGATTTCAAGTTTTGGATTGTATGAATAAATTGGATTGATGAATAAATTGTATGCTGAAATATATATTTTTTTTTACTGTATGAAGGTGTAATTGGCACTGGTTAACCGGTGCTAATTGAAGTTAAAATTAAAAAAAAAACAGCGCGCATTTATATTTGAAGGCGTAATTGGCACCGGTTAACCGGTGCCAAAGTGTGTAGTTAGCACCGGTTAACCGGTGCCAATTGCTTTAGTTGGCACCGGTTTTGAACTGGTGCCAAATTTTTGGGGATTTGGCACCCCTCAAATCCCCAACGGTTCAAAATCGGTGCCTTAGGTGGGGGGGGGGGGTTTTGAACCGGTGCCAAATTAGCTTTTTCGCCTAGTGCACACGGTGTGACCCGTCATCATGAGGGTTACTTCATTAGTGTTATAAGCATTACTCTCTCAGTGTTACAGGGGTTAAATTACTTATCAGTTAGTATTATAGAAATTACTTGATTATTTTTGTTATAGGGGTTACTTGATCAGTGTTAAAGGGGTTACTTTGTTTTTTTTTTTTTATATAAGTGGGGCCACACGATGAGGCTAGCCGCACACAAGACGATTTGTTTACTAGGTGTTCTAAACCAAGGATGACCAAAAACGGAATCGGGACACTCGCTTAGAATAATTCATGATTTTCTAATATTAAATACCTTTTCCTTTATTATCTACAACAACTGCCACCTTTTTTGTCTTCTCTCTCCTCCCTCCTCTCTCCTCTAGGGTTTTAATTTTCTTAGCCGTTTAGGTCGGAAATAGTCTAATTTTCGAAGAAATTAGACTATTTCCGATCTTTTTCTTTAATTTAATTAACTTTTTTCTAGGTCTAATTTGCTTTTTGTTTTGCTTTGTTTTCTCTATTTGGGAGAGTCTGTCCTAATTTTTTTGAGTTTTTCCCAATTTTTTGGGATTTTAATTCTCATCTATGAATGAGAATTTTGTTTTTGGAAAAATTGCGAGGAAAGTCCTTTTAAGTGGTTGACCTTGTGAGGAAGGTCCTTTTATGAAAAAAGGTGGCACAAAAGGTCCTTTTATGAAAAAGGTGGCACAAAAAGTCCTTTTATGGCGATTGGGTTGTGAGGAGGGTCCATTAACCAAACTACGGCGTTGACCTCCGTTTTCCGGCAAAAAAAGAATAAATTATATATATAAAAAGAATAACAAATATACTCCAAATAATTAGAGTGGAGCGCCTAGTTTTGGAATATGCATGGGAGCTATGAGACCACCATGAGCAGCAAGGTTTGAAGAGCCTCGCCTATGGGGACAGTAAAGCTGAACACTGATGCTTCATTAACGGAGGAGATGGGGGTTGTGGCGCGGGAAATACATCATTGGATTAGACCTATTTGGTGCTATGAGAGCTTCGTGAAATAGTTGAGGCAAAAGGGGAAGAAATATGGATTGGACAAGATCACCTTTAGAATCTGATTGTTAGCTCCTTGCTAATCGCTTATCAAATGGCTCTGTATTCTATACCGATCTTTGTTTGGGAAATAATCTCAATCAATAAGTCTTGTGTAAGGCGGGTATACGTTAATTTTATTTTAAGACGGTTAGTTTGAGGGTAAGTTTAACTATTTTTGTGGTAACTTTAACCACTTAAAGGGTAACTTTTAATTTGTCGTTGGTTTGAATTTTAATATGTAATTTCCTTATAAATTCATGATTACATACTATAAAAGCTAATATGATTAATCTAATACATTATAAGTTTTTTGTAAGATAAATTTATTATTAGAAAAATAATAACTTTTGTAGTATAAAAGGTAACTTTATATACTTTTATGATATTATTACCCGTCTTACAATAAATTAACGTACACCCGCCTTTTTGGAGAATTTGTGAATCTCAGTTTAGTTTTCAATTTTTTTTTTTATTAAATTCTTGTTGCATACTAGAAAACAGCCTATATTCCACGGAATTAATCAATCAAAAATACCCCGTATTCCGTCGAAAAACCCGTTTTCAACGACATTTTTTGTCAGAAGCGGTTGTCAGAGCTTTTTGTCAGAAAAACGGCATTTTCCGTTGGAAATTCCGCCAGAAACGGTTTTTCGACGAAATGTCAGGCGTCGGAAGAGATTTCTCCTGCCCGGAAAGTTCGACAACCCGGAAAGTCTGTCGGAAATTTTCCACGGACTGTTTTCTGCAAAGCATTTCCGACGAAAAATTCGTCGGAAACTCCTGCCAAAAAAATTAAAAAAAAAAACCTCCAGGCACCACCCCACTCCACCACCGCCACAAAACTTAAACATAAAAAAAACCTTGAATTAAACGACACCTCCCACCACCGTACCTCCTGTCCACCTCCACCACCACCACTCACTACGCCACCCCCAACCCAGATCTGCCTGCAAAGTCCACCACCACTCACTAACCCTAACCTAGCTCACCATCACAACCCTAACCCTAACTCTAAACCGAATTCACCACCACCTACTACGCCACAACAACCCTAACCCTAACCTGAATTCACCACAACCACCCAGACCCTACCCTGAATTCAGCCGCCACCCAACACCACCATGAAAAAAAAAAGATAAAAACCAAAGTAAAAATAATAATAAAAAGACATACTTAGGCCCTGTTATTTTAAACTTCTAGGCAGAGTAAAGTAGGGGTCAGCAGAGCAAAGCAAGGCAGATTTCATTATTATTATTATTATTATTATTATTATTATTATTATCATTATTATTGTTGTTATTATAAAATATTAGTTATTATTATTAAATATTAATTATTAATTATTCTTATTATTATCTTTAAATATTAGTTATTATTATTTAATATTAAATATTAAATATTATTATTATTATATATTAATTATAATTATAATTAGTATTATTATTTTTAAGAAGAGCAGAGTACAGCAGCTCAAAAGAATAGGGCCTTACCTTAATTCCAATACAAAACTTCGACATTTTGTGTATAAGGAAAATTTCAACCATGAAAACTCTAGATCTAGAGTTTTCATGGTTGAATTTCAAAAAAAAAAAAAAAAAAAAAAAAAAAAAAAAAAAAAAAAACCCTTTGATTTCATCCATGAAAATTCGACTAGGAGAACTGAGAAGAAGGGGAAAGGGAGAAGAAAAGGCGGGGAAGAAGAAAGGACCAAGCGGGGTGCCAACAGGGATCAAGGTTACGGACGGGGGCAGCAGCGTCCGGCGGAGAAGAGTGAACTGAGGATAGAAGAAAAAGAGAAGAGTGAACGGAGAAGAAAAAGAGAAAGAGAAGAAGAAGGGAGAAGAGTGCGTGAACGGAGAAGAAAAAGAGAAGGATAAAAAGGGAGAAGTAGAACAACAAGAGAATGAAGGGAATAGAGAGAAAGAGAGGAGAAAGTAAAATGAAGGGTAAAGTTGTAAAGGGCAGGGGGCGATTGACTACTTAATTAGGGTTTTGGGTTTTTCTAATTTTTTGTTAAACCTAAATTTCCTCGGAAATCCATGAAATTCCGTCGGAAATTTCTGACGAAACTAAAATCGTCGGAAATTATTTATTTTTCGACAGAAAAATCCATAGGAAATTTCCTATGAAATAAAAACTCGTTGGAAATTAAGTATTTTTCGATGGATTTAATTTCCGTCGGAAATTTTTCAACGGAAATTCCAAATTCGTGGGAAATTTCCGACAGATTTTCGTGTCCGTCGGAATTTGACCTTTTTCTTGTAGTGATTGGGCCGTCGCGTGCTACACATACGTCAATCAACTTTTAATGCATATAATTAAAAGTTACTTTATTCTAGTATTAATTGACTAAATTTGTAATTGTTTTGTGTGTAACAACAAAATTAAGGTTTTGTTCTCTTCACCTTATTCAAACAATATTAATTAAAAAAAAAATTATGTTTAGTGAAATTAATTTCAGTTTAGTAAACAAAAGTTAATTTTAGCAACAAAAAAATAATTAATTGAGCTAAAATAAGTTTAAATTAGTAAAAATTAGAATATAAATAACAAATAGAGAATTAGTAAATATAAGTTTTATTTAATAAAAATAATTTTAGTTCACCAAATACCCTTTCAATTTTTTCATGAAGCTATATCCTGCAATCCATTGTTATAAAAACAAAGCCTAACCCATTTGTTTATTTAATTGGCTCATTATTTTCATGAGGCCCAACTTCACCCTACAATTCTCTCCTATAAATACCCCATGAATCCCCAAATTTTGCCCACACAAAGAGGTTAGTCTTATTTTCTTCCTCGCTCTTGTTTTCTCTTCTTTTGTTAATTCAACCCAAGTTTAAATCTTTATCAATTTTTGTTATTTAATTGTTATTATTATGGTTTGATTGTATATGAATTATAAAAGATTATAAATTTGTAAGATTTATTATTTTTTAAATTATGCATCAAAATTTCAGATTTATTTAGTTAAGAAATTAGGGTTTAAAACTTGATTTTCATGGTTTTAGGGCTTAAAAACATGTTGCTAAAGCTATTCAATTTAAGCATGATTATATTGTGATTCTACTATGATTATGATGATGTTTAATTCAAAATCAAGTCTTCAGTTTTTTGTAATCAATTTCTGATTTACGTTCTTAATATCTATTAATTACATTTTAATCACGTTTAGATTCTAACTCGTCCGATTTTTGCAAAAAAAAAAATAGTGTTTTTAGTGTGTAAACGACGTTTTAATTAAAAATTACTACCTTTCGTAGTAAACGCCACCCTCTCGTGGCCAAATTCAACCTCTAAATATGGTTTTCGGACAATTTTTTATTTTTAACGAAGGTTTAAAGTTTAAAATAAATTTTCAGATTTTTATAAAGCTTTAAACTTGCTGTAATTTTGTGAATAAGTATGTATTTTAATGTTTTTATGTAGGAAATTTTAAGAATAATATGTAAACTTTTAATTCTAGCAAAAAGGAAGGTTTTAAGTGTTGTTTAATTGAATTTTGAAGGTTTGTTTGAGTTTTTACGAAACTAATTGAACTCTAATTATATATTTCAAGTTTAGATTGTTGCATTCATACATTCTACTATTAAAGTAAATTTTCAGATTTTTAACTTTGGTTTTAAAGGTTTTAAATCATGGTTTTATGATGGATTTTTAGGTTTTTAACATACTAACATACTATATAATGATTATTTTAAGTAGAGATGTTTATGAGGTTGTTTTATATTCTTAAACTAAATTTCCAGATTATAATCCTTACTTTAAAGTTGCTGGAATTTTATGTTATAAGCTATATTTTCATGATTTTAACAGATAGACTTATAGTTGAACTATTGAATTATTAACTTTGACTATTGTGAGTAATTTAAGAGCATTATTTCAATGGTTTCAGGGGTTTAAAAGTAAGTTAGTATTGCTGTAAATTATATTGCTTGGGTATTGATTGAACCATTGTTGTTTGGTTTAGGAGAGGACTTTGTAGAAGGTGATTTTTAGTTCCTAAAGTGGCCAACCAACTCGTTTACTCAAGGTACGTACAAGGATACGAAAACCTTGACTCTAGGAGCATGTTTAAGGACTAGGAAGACTTAGAATCATGTTAGGAAACTTGTAGATTGCATGAAATTGTTTGGTAGTGAGTTTGATTGATGACTAATGTGATGATTGGTTTGATTCATGTATGAGAAATGTGTATTGATTTTTCTTGTAAGTATTATTTATGCATTAACTTGGAAGATGAGCTTAGAGGCAAAGGTACGTGAATATGTGGAATGAATTATTGTATTACCCGTTCATGATTAATGAAATGGAATGAGTAAAGGGAGATTTAAAGTCTTATAAGACGAGGTTGAGGATTGAGGTGCCCTATGCACTTAAGGTGTTTATACACCGAGGTAGTTAAAGGATTCAATACTAAATATTGTTTGTCACTAATAAATCAAGAATTGAATTGGAAATTTGAATTGTTTGAATGATGGATGTATGTTTGGTTTCTTTGTTTTGCATTTGAGTCATCACCAAGTTACTACCATAAATGACAATGAAGCGTGTCAATCATTCTTTGTCGATTTTTGAATAATTGACATGCTACCATAAATGACAAAGGACCACCATTATTAAAATTATATTTTCATTATACAGAGTACGTGAATGAACTAAAAAAATCTTTGTATTAATTCTTCACAAAGCTTTAATTAGTAAAAATGTATATTGCAGGGGACCTAAACTAGTTATAAAAAATTGACACACATTGAAATAAATCTAGATTTTGAAGATAATAAGGATGTCAATGGGGCAACACAAATAGGAGACCTTCCCATTCCGCCCTAGTGGGTGAGAAAGGGCGGAAACAAATCTAGATTTGAAAGATGGTGGGGTTGGGATGGGGATGAAATGCCACGGATGTTGGATTGTGAGTGGAACTTAGGTTGTACCGTCTCGCCTCAACTCGCCCCATACCCTTGTAAAAATATTGAATAATATAACGACAAAAGTCTAAACCACACTACAAAAACCGCGTGAATACCAACAATTTGTTACCGATGGCCAAGTATTACCATCGGTAATATTAGAAATACTGACGATTTAGACAGCTCTCGCAAATTATTGACGGCTTAAAACATTACGACGGCCAAATCGTTAGTAAATTAAAAAAAACTTGTTACCGACCACTTCATGGACGGTCAAACCAACTTATTAATTTATTTTTAAATTTTTTTTTAAAAACTTACAGAGGGTTTCAAGTCGCTGGTACAGTTTTACAACGGTCGTTTATTTTCGACTTTTATCAATACCGATGGTAATTCTAAATTTACCAATGGTTTAACTAGGTCGTCGGTATCAAGTAAGTTGAGTACATAAACATAAATGAAATAACACTAACATGATACATCCTAGTAATAAGAAAACTTACCTGGCAATTTCCTAGTTCAACATACAAATATCAATAATTCACAACTTAACTAAATAATTTATTAATTGCATTACACATCGAATGGGTTTTCCCCTCTCATCTTCCCCAAAAAAAGGGACTAACACGGGAGCTAACCGTGCTAGTACCAAAAACTAGTGACTCATAAAGTGACGGACATCCTTGCACATAATAAAAATCAAAAGAAAAGTACAGTATCATCCGATATCCCCTATAGAAGTTAATGATCAAATATACAGTCACATAACTTCCCCCATATGTTCATACTACTTAAGGTATATACGTTCCAAGTGTTTTGGTGCATATCTTTTTTCACATTACGTGATTGACATTTTAACACGATAATGACTCATACACAAACAATTAATTTAATCAACAATGATCTTTCAAGCAATCAGCATTTCTAATTTAATTCTTAAATAACTAGTGATCATCAATATTTAATGTTGAACCCTTTTTCACTAACCTCATTGTGTAAACACCTTAAGTGCATAAAGCACCCCATAAATTCTCAACCTTGTGTCCTAAGACACTAATAAAATTGAAAATAGGACAGTACACCCGGATGCACACCTGTAAGACGGAAAGAACATACGGTTGTGTGATAAAGAACATACTATGTTTGACAAAGAACATACCCATATATGTTTGATAATATGTTCTTTTATACTTATGTTCTTTAAATATGTTGATTAAACATGTTTTTTGGGTTTCAATAATATAAAGTATGTTCTTTGAATTTGGCTTGTATGTTCTTTGACGTAATGAGTGACGCACAATTTTTTTTTACTTTCTTATTATCATATATCATTTTTTTATTATCTTTTTTTTTTTTTTGAGTTTGATCCAAGTGTTCTTCGGGCATAAATTATATGTTCTTCACATTATAACTTATGTTTTTTTAACCTATGTTATTTTGAATTTTGAAATTTGAAAATGAAATCTTGAATTTTTTTTTTTAGTTGAAAATATTTTAGAGAAAAAAACTAAAATTATTATGGAAAGTTGAATTTTTGGAGAGTGAAAAAACTATTTTTGGGGAAATGATATATTTGGTAAAGATTTTTTCCGTTAATGTGCAATTTTTCATAAAATTTAATAAAGTTTTTATCACGTTCTTTTTGTAATGTCTTTATGGTCTTTAATAATGCATGTTCATTGTTAAACACAAACATGTTCTTATTCAAAAACCTACATGTTCTTTTTCAAACCTCTAAATGTTCTTTCCGCCTATTTTTTTATTTAACCGGGTGTACCATGAGCATGGTACACCCGGGTGCATAGATCATGCACTGAATAAAAATAGCTCATCAATTGGGCATAAGCACCCTATTTAAATAGTTCAATTTCCTGTGCATGAAAGAACAAATAAAATTATATAAATCATGCCATAATTATTTCTCACTATTCTTAACCAAATTAAACCATTAGTTTAATTAATTATGCTCAATTTCATATTTTAAATAAAACCATAGTCCATACTCAACATGTATTAAGTCTCATAGAATAATCACACTGAACCAACATGCTTAGAATAACATAAAGCAATTGTCACACAATGTTTTCAATCACAATTCAATTAATTCCAAACATATAAATTAAACTAGTTCCTACTTCCTAGCATATAACTACATACATACTTGATACCAAATAAATCATTCTTAACATGATATTACACATATTAAATATTCTCTATACGTGAACGTACCTCGAATATAATAGCAAAATCACTTCTACTTCAAAAAGCCACTTAGTTTGTACTCTCCTACAACTAATAGTTACCAATATGCATTAATAGTTATTCTCTAACAATTTTCAGCAATATGAACCAACTTTAAAACGCTTTAAAAGCCTTGTAAAATACTAAAAATTTATTAGAAGCCCTTAGTTTCATTCCACATTAATGGGTATTTTAATTTCATAAATCATAAGGGCTAAAATGACTCCAAATCTTAATCTATGAGCAATTTATGTGGCTACAAAAATAATGTCAAGCAAATCGAAACATAATATGTAAAACATGGCATTTACTTTATTTGTTGCCATATACAAGCTCAATTTAGACTTTTAAGAGCCAGAAAATCTCCCAGGCCAAAACCTATAATAGAAATTTTTCAACACATAAGTTTAAAAAAAAATTATTAAGTAGAGAGACCCTACTAAAGGTAATCGGGAAAAACACGTAACCCCGTTAATGGCAAGGTCACTGTATAGTTACTAATTGTACCAGAAGGTTACAGTGTGTAACTTCCAAAAAGAGAAGGCATAACTTGGAAAACACAATACTAGAAAATCACTACGTAGAATTTCCCCTTTTATTTATGTATAATGTAAAGTATACATTTTTCATACCCAAAGGATATATTAATCAGACTCAAATCAAGAATGTATGTCATTCCAATAGTAAATGAAGATGGATCGAAGAAATGAAAAAAGATCATTCATCACTATCAAAAGAACATCCTCTTCAACCTTAGAATATAAAACAAAAACAAAAATTAATATGTATAATAGAAATAATCTAAAAATACCTTTTTTCAATAATGAATTCGCCAATTATATCTCTTTATTATTAGATTAATTGAAACGATAAAATCAACTCCATAATTGCACGTTGAATCACTTTGACATTCGAAATTTAATAATAGCTATTGAATTTAAGGGTGAAAGTTCGATTTACAGTTTTGATTTTAGCCCAAGCTAAATCCAAATCGTATAAATTTGATTTGGGGTTTTTCAAACCGAAACCAGACCGAATTACTATTTGGTCAAAACCAAACAAAACGAAAATTTTGAGCCTTACGTTTTTTGCCTGATTTTTCACCTACTTTTTCGAAGCCTAATATCATTGATTTGTGAAACTCGAAAATAATTAACATGATCATTTTTCGAAGCTAATATGAGACAACAATATAATTAATAGCCAACATAACAATCCTTTTCTCCCTTTATCAATTAGCCAAACTAATTAATAATTCAACAAATTATGATATGAATCATATAACATGAAATTTAACAGGGAAACATGAAAGTCGATTTAAAATTTGCACGAAAACATGAATGATTCTTGCTCAATTAGCGAACTTAAGCCGATTTGAATATTTTGCGAAGATCGAATTGCAAAATGAGGACGACTCGGCGAGACTCAGTGAAGTGGAAATGGGAATTAGGGTTTTTCCATGTTTATATAGCTGGGATAATGGGCAGTTGGGCTTAATATTTGAGCTTATGTTTATAATTTAATTTTTAATTTCGATTTTCGGTTTGATTCGGTTTTAAATCGAATTCATTTTGCCCCTAATTGAATTTTTCTAATGAAACATCAATTTCCCTCTCCATACAAAAAATGAAATAATACCTCTCCTAAAAGATCTTATTAATATGGAATTTATATAACAAATTAATCTCTTAAATTAAGGAGATTTTTTCTTACACGTGTACTTTATATTTGTATGCAATTTTTTTTTTTTTTTTTTTTGGAAATTTTTTCATAAAAAATCCTTTTAAAGCAACTTTTTCATCAGGAAAAACTTATAAAAATTTATTGGCAACTAAAAACCTAATTCTAATATTTTTTTTTTTTTAAAGACAACCAAGGGTCAGCTTCCGGCATCGACTTGGTCTTTTCCGGCGTTGACCCCCCATGTGCAGGTCATGTGACCTTTCTTTTATTGATCTTACCCCCTTTCTTCTAATTCCCCTCTAATTTTCCTCTTTTACTCTCTCATTTCAAATCCTCTCCTTTCTTATTAGGGGTCGTTTGGTTGGGCGTATTTAACAAAGGGAAAGGGAATCAACTGCCATGAATCCCTTTATTGATGTTTAATAGGCATATTCAATCATTCCCTTTACCCCTCTCATTACCCCATTTTCCTCTATTTTCATTCCTTACCCCCCCCCCCCAAGGGAATCACTCTAACCCCCAAACTCCTCTTCACCCAACTACCTGGACCAACTTTGTAACTACCTTGATCACCCTCGAAACACCAACTGCCCACTAACACCACCGCCCAACCACCACTAGAACCATCGCCTAGCCACCAACAATTGCCGACACACTGACGCCACCACCCAGCCACCACCGAAACTACCCAAAACCACCCAGCCACCACCGAAACTACCCAAAACCACCCAGCCACGTTCACCACCCATTACCCACGAAATCATCACAACCACCACAAAAACCACCCAAAAAACAACCGGCCTGCGAGGAAGAGGAAGTGCGGCTTTGAGGGTGGTTGGGAAGGGTTTCGAGGGTGGTTGGGAAGGGTTTTGAGGGTGGCTGGGTGGTTGGGGAAGGGTTTTTAGGGGTTTTCGAGGGTGGGGGAAGATTTTCGAGGGAGAAAAAGCTGTTTGGGAGGAGAGGAAGTGCGGCGAGGGGTGGCCAGGTACGGCGAGGGGCGGGGTGGCTGGAGAAGTGGGATAGTGAAGAAAGAGGGGTTTGTGTAGTGGTGGTAGTGGTGTGGTGGTAATGTGGTGGATCTGATTCTCTTTGATTTTTAAAACAAATAACACACTAAATTTGAGGGATTTTCATTCCTTTCTCTTTCATTACCTTTGTTCATTCCATTCCGATTACCCCCTGCGAACTAAACGACCCCTTATTATGTTGTTCTCTCAATTGAAGATCTTTCAAACAAGGTAGTTTGGATTAATTTCAGTTATTGTGTTTGGCAATTAATTTCGACCAAGGATACTCTTAGGTTGTTTTGTATGTAATTCTTGGCCATTTCATCAAATTTGGAGGTAATTTAAAAAATTAGGGTTTCTTGCTCCTTTTTGAATTTGCACCAACAACAATTGTTTCTCTCAATTATGAAGCATCCATGGCTCCATTGAAGGATATCATATGTGACTTTGTAATTGCCCCCCCTAGCTTCTTAGAACATGACTTTGCTACCTTTCTTGCTTCCTTCCTTGCTTTGTTCTTAACCACGGGAAAGCAATTGTAGCAAAATTTCAGCAAAAAATACCCAAAAAAGGAAAGAAACACATTTTAACACAATGCATTAAGTAAACTTAGGGTGGGTTTAAATTTACTTCACTTCACATCTTCATTGATTAATTTGCAGGTAGAGGATGACACTATGGTAGAGAATAGGTTAAAGATGATTTACTACCACTTTTTTTAAGAAAGGAGAAAGAAGAAGGGTTTAATTAAAGAGGATTTGAAATGAGAGAGTGAAAGAGGGAGATTAGGGGGGAATTAGAAGAAAGGTGGTGGGATTAGTAAAATAAGGCTCACGTGTCCCGCACATGGAGGTCAACACCGAAAAAGTCCAAGTAAATGTCGGAAAGTGACCCTTGGTTGTTTTTAACAAAAAAAAAAAAAAAAAAAAAAAAAAAAAAAAAAAAAAAAAATTAGAATCAGGTTTTTAGTTGTCAAATTTTTTTTATAAGGTTTAACCTGACAAAAAAATTGCTTTAAAAGGTTTTTTCTAATAAAATTTCCTATATTTTTATGCGCGTTT